GGGGGGGGGGGTGAAACCACCTTTGCTGAGTTTCTTTCCAAAAGGCTAGAATTCAGAGACTTAGGTTTAATTTGCACTGCAGAAATAATGCAGTTTGACACTACTTTAACTGCCATGGCTCAGTGCTATGGAATTCTGGGATTTGCAGTTTTTTGAGCTATGTAGCCTCTGTCAGAGTGCTCTGGTACCACAACAAAGTACAAAACCAGAATGTAAATTGATGGCAGCATTATAAATAAACAACAATAACAACTGAAATATGCAATAAAACAGTGTTAAATGTCAAAATGTGGTCTGTGGGTTTTGTTGTTGTTGTTGTTGTTTTGGTGTGTGTGTGAAAATAAACTGCCTATTCCAGTCCCATATACTTTTGTCCTAGTTTTGTGGAAAAAAATATGGCAACCCTCCTGTACAAGCCCCTCTTAAGTCCAAACCCATCAAGGCCAACATTGCAAGGGAAGTAGGAAGTGAGCTCTGGTGGCTGCTTCTATGGGGCATCGACTCTCTCCTCCTCCCCTCTTTCCCTCCTGCTCCATCCGTCCACCCATGCACAACCCATCCTCCTTCCTCCTGCTCCCCATACCATACCATCCCCTTCCTCCTCCCACCAAATGAATGAGCGAGCAAGGAATGCATGCACAGCTGAGCCTAGCCATCACACCAGTTTGATTTTCCCCCCATGACCAAAATTTTGACCACTGACTAAACCTGAGTTAACTGAATACACCTGAAGATGGACACTGGTGTTGTCAAAGCCCCTATTAAAAATAGCATATTATTAGCAGCTCTTGTGCCACTAACCCCCACAAATGTGGAAGGACAATTGCATTTAATAAAGTTTAATAAAATAATAAGTATCTAATAAAATGTAACATGCACAGCCAAGTGAGCAGAGAATCTCAATCCTTCAGATACTCAAATATGGACATATCCATCTACATACACTGCACATTAAAAGCAAATGGTGACACCACGCTTGCCAGATGAAGATGCCAATGTAACCACCCACCCACCTGTCCTGCCCTCCAACCCCCAATTGTACCTTGATCCCAATTTGGGGTGCAAGACACATGTTTTTTAAAAACTTTTTTCCAAGAAAATATGGAGTAAGAGGTTTTGTTTTTGTTTTTTTAATTGCATGACAGCCCCTATGTTTCTAAAAGAACTGGTTTCAGTTTGAAACCAGAGGGATGTTATATGTTCAAATGGGATGGGGATTGAGGTAAGGTTGAATTATTTTGCACATGTGAATTCAGCCTAAGTCAGTACTGCTGCTACTAGATGCTCATTGGGCGCTGTATGCTGGTTACCTAGAGCTCAGTGGAGGGCTTAAGTCAAACGAGCCTCCAATGATGTATTTTCCTTCTCAGGATAGTCCTGTACTTTGAGATGCATACCAGTGCAAGGAGTGAACCTATAGTGACTTGGACATGTGCAGATATCTGAGAGCTCTACCCCAGAGAAGAATGAGGGCCAAACCTTATGATGTGGGTGTTCCACTATATTGTGGGTTTTCTGGAGTTTGGGGACCTAATATCTATAGTATAAGATCTGAAGATTTTACAGGACAGGTTTCCTTACATCTCATGTGTACTTTAAAGAAGCACCAGCCTTTTATTCAAAAGCATTTAGTGCTTGAAAGAATCAATAACAATGTGGTTGCTCTTATAAATGGTTCCATAATAATCCTATGGCCATCTCTATTCTATTAATGGTTATCTTTGCAAGCCATTTCCTCACAAAACAGCAAGTTCTCTTCCCAGGTTATGCTTTATGATGACAAGAAATGTGCTTAAAAACAGTATCAGTGAAACAAGTGATATCTTTGCAGTATGAAAGCATAAGGGGCTCTTGTTTTGTTCTTACTTCATGTTTATTATGGGCTGCATGGGAGGTTTTAAGTGAATTTCAGCAATTTTTCTTCTTTTTTTGAATTGTAACATAAGAAAAATGTTGCTGGATCAAAATAAAGATCAATCTGATTAGAGGTTTGTTTGTTTGTTTGTTTGTTTTTAAATCCAAGTATATATACAATATACTTCTGGAAGTCCAAAAACATAGGCTTCCCCTTTGTTAGTCCTAGGTTCTGATAACCAGAGGTATACTGCTGCTCTACACTAAAGGTCCATTTAACTGTTATGGCTGATACCAGTTGATAGACCTATCTGCCAAGAATTTGACTAACTAAACTTTTACTGGTACCTGGGCTCAGCCTGGCATCTGATACAGAGCTTGAAAAAATTACTTCAACAATTACGGAACATCGAGGAGTGATCATATTTCACCGATTTTAAGATCCCTCCACTGGCTGTCTATTGGTTTCCAAGCACAGTATAAG